GCCGGGGCTGAGCCATGCGACAGCTCAGCGCCGCAGCGCTGGAGGAGGCGGCAGAGGGCGCACCAGGCGGCGGCAGACGGCGAGACAGCCGAGGCCACGGCCACGGCGGTAGCGGCGACGTCGACGCCAGCGCTCGGCGGCGGCAGCGGCAAGGGAGGAAGAGGGAAGAGGAGTGATGCGTGGGGGGCAGGTGGGAGCAGGAGTGGGGAGCGGTGCGACGAGCGGTGCGGGGACGAGCGAGTCGGAGGAGAAGAAGGAGGAGGAGGAGGAAGAGTAGGAGGAGAAGCACCCGATAATGCCAACAACATGTTGCTGTTGGATCCCAGCGCGACCCCACTGCGGTGTGCGACGCGAGCCCTGGAGTCCCTGGAGTGCCGTCCTGAAGTCGCGCAGGCATCTGCTGGGGGCCCGCAGGGATACGATGCGTGCTACCCTCTGATTATCTTCCTCCCTGCACGCTTATCCCACCGTGCTTCCACCAGTCGCCACAACTTTGGAACAACCAGCCAGAATGTCAGCGCCCCAAATGCTCAACCGGTCCACATGCCCATGCGTCCGTGAGAGGCAAAGGATGCGGACACGGAATCGCTCGCCGAACCTCAGGGCGACGCTACGTCAAGACGATGGGCGCCCTCTCCTCCTTGCTCCTCCCACTACGTTCCCTCCACCACGGGATCCCCTCCTCCCAAAGAGTCTCGTCGAGCAACTCGGCAACCCAGCGTCCCTCTCGGCTTTCCAGTGTTCTGTAGCCGAGCTCGCTGGGTAACGTGCTGAGGTGATGCGAGATCATTGATCTCCCGAGGGCTGCTGCCTCGGACTCGTCAGCAGGGAAGGACCACGAAAACCGAGACGTAACCTCGACGGGCGACACGGCAGCCCGTCGTCTCAGCAGCAAGGGGAAAAAACGTCGATGGCCCTAAACCCGGCACGGGTCGTCTGGTGGAGGATGATCGGGTGTAGCCAGGACCCCAGTTAAGGGGAGCCGGTTAGTGATTGGTCCCCGAAGCCCAAAATATGTACTGGAATCATTGAACCAGGTCTGCCGTAGCTCATGCTTTTCGGGTTACGGCAATTCCGGTTTGTGGGATGGCATCGGGGGGGCGTCCCCAGGTACACATCACTAAACCAGGCCCCACTAAACCCAGTTCTGCCAACGCCCGAGAGGAGGAGGACGACGACGACGACAGGATACGGGGAAGGGAAAAGTTCTCGAATGTCAGGAACTCTTGCCGAGCCTTGGGGCGATGTCCCGCCACGGTGACGAGAGCTGGTGTTCGTGCTCCTCCCCTGCCACCCCCTTCGGACCCCCTGGCCCTCCCCGATAGTCCTGTCAAGCGGCACGGCGGCCCAGCGTCCGCTCGGCTTCCCAGGCCCTGCGTGGAGGAGGAGGAGGAGGAGGAAACGGAGGAGGAGGAGCAGGAGGAGGAGGATGAGCAGGAGGAGGAGGAGGAGGAGGAGGATGAGGATGATGATGATGATGATGATGATGAGGAGGAGGAGGAGGAGGAGGAGGGGAGGAGGAGGAGGGAGGCGGAGGAGGAGGAGGAGGAGGAGGGGTGGCAAGTCCCGGTTGGCACCACGGACAGAGACACGACAGGAAGGAAGGAGTGAGGAGGAGGAGGATGTGGAGGCGGAGGAGGAGGAGGAGGAGGAGGAGGAGGAGGAGCAGGAGGAGCAGGAGGAACAGGAGGAGCAGGATGATGAGGAGAAGGAGGCGGAGGAGGAAGAGGAGGAGGAGGAGGAGCAGGAGGAACAGGAGGAGCAGGATGATGAGGACGAGGAGGCGGAGGAGGAGGAGGAGGAGGAGCAGGAGGAGCAGGAGGAGGAGGAGGAACAGGAGGAGGAGGAGGAACATGAGGAGGGAGAGGATGAGGAGGGGGAGGAGGAGGAGCGGTATGGCGCTATGGCGGAAGCGCGGTTCCCGAGTGTTAGCTCGGCCGCCCCATCACAATCACTCACGTGGGAACGACATGCCCGACTTTGGCGGGAGTCCACGCTCCAGACGATAGACGATTCAAGGCCTCCTTACCTTTCTTAGTAGGAGGAGCACAGGCCATAGGGAGCCCGGGCGGAGACTCTGGACCGCAAAGGACCCACAAGTGGTGCAGTACAAAACGCCACTCGGGGCCGATAAGGGGTGGGTCTCGTGACACTGGACGGCCAGTAGGTTGGCAACACCACCACCTTCCAAAACCTCGGCCCCCGGTTCCGACACCTCATCCTTACGCGGCGCGGCGAAACGAAACAATCGACTGCATCGACACGGGCCAGGCCAGAACTGCGACAGGTTCCCACCCAGGTTAAACCTGCACAAACATATTCTACACTTGCTCGAAGAAGAGAGGACGGCGGGGCCATTCCCTTGAACACGCAATCGCTCGACACGCTCCCACTCTATCCTCCAGGCCCCCTGGATACAGAGAGTGGCCCCCCATCCAACCGCCACAGGCCATCCAGGCTACACTGAGCCAGCCTATTGTTACAAAGGTTCGTGCAAAACCCGAAACCAGTGTACAACAAGGACTGAGGTTCACCGGTTCAGCCGAAGAATTGCCGCCATGCTGTACTCTCTATGTACTGTTATTTATATTGCCAGTATGTTAAGCTATACTGATACTGGGATGGGGTGGAGGTCAGACAGTATGAGTCGGGGGTGACGAAGTGGACCTCAACACAAGCCAGCCAGTACCTACAGCGCCAGCCTTCTTCGGCATATAGCCGCGTACCTCGAGCGGCCACTCCAGGCCACGCTTCAACCTGAGCATCATGTCGCTCACATTGCCACTAGCCTCGCCTCTTCTATAATTCGTTTCAACGGGCTTGCATACCTTTTGCGCTGCACACCTAGACTAACAATCTTGAGACTTATCTTACGGGAGGATTTTACGGTGGAGGGTACTGAGGTAACACCAGGCGCTGCAGCGTATTCTTATAGTATCCTCGCGACAGCCTCCCTCGGCAGTAAGCCTAGGGCTCCACACTGCCCCTGTAGCGTCGCCTGTTCTATTTCTCTGCACGTGTATTTCGTCCTTCGCCTCCTTGTAACTTCGATGCCACTCCTGATCATTCCCTGTCTCCTCGTCGGCATCTCCCACAGTGCTGGTGGCGAGCGTTTACTCTGCGCCCCTGAGGGTTGCTGCCTGCCTCCCATTTTTTTCGCGCGTCGCTTCCCGCAGCGCTCGCCACTACAGCCTGATCTGTTTGCGTCTTTGCCTGAGTTGGCGATTGTTGTTTCGTGCGTTCACGCCACACGCCCGCGATTCAGGTCCGTGCAACGTCAGGAGGAGGAGGAGAAGGAGGAGGAGGAGGAGGAGGAGGAGGAGGAGGAGGACCAGAGTATACCCAGGATGCGTCAGCGATGCTGCGACACGCCCTCCCGCCCCAGGCCCCAGCAGCCTCACGGGCCCACTGCGGGAATAGCACCGCCCCCTCGGGTGCCGATCCGTGGCGCGCGTGCGCCACTGCGGCACGCCGTCGCGCCCAGCGCGGCAGGTTCGCCACGCAGTGCCGGGAGGGGGAAACCACACACAGACACAATCAATCGTCGATTCCCCCGAAAAAAAAAATGAAAATACGGGAAGTGGGGGGAAAGACAAAACCCAGAAAATATTGGAAAATGTGGGGAATCCGGTTATTTGTGTCTAATTATTTGTGTGTCCCAGGGCCCCTTCATTAACCACCTCCAACTTCCCCAGCACGTGGGGCAAGAACACAAGGCCAGGGAGTTCCGGTCGGTCTCGGCCTCCGGAGGGGGGGGGCCCTCGATCAGACTCCGTGCCCTCAATCGCTCCCGCGAAGTGCTCCCCAGAATCGCGACGGGGGTTCATGCAAACGGGGGTCAGTCAGAGCGCCGGATCTTGCAGGATCTTGCAGGGCCAGGGGCGCACTGACCTGGGTTTGGGTGCAGGATCCTGCAGGATTTTACAGGATCCTTCGCATTGACCCGGGTTTGGGTGCAGGATCTTGCAGGACTTTGCAGGATTCTGCAAGGCCTGATTCGCCCGGGTCTGGATTGACCCGAGCCAGCAGATCCCCGAGCTTGGGAGTCTTCATCTGGACGTCCGAAGCGGGTACGGAAAAAGTGAGTACGATGCCCAACAACAGGTGTTGCCCTAAACCGACAGCGGCCGCTGTTGGGCGGGCGGCCTCCAGTCTTCAATGGACAACGTCCGCGGCGGCGCGGACAGCGAGTCCTGTTCAAAACGAGCAGGAACTTCTTTTGGGCATCGTACCCGTTCTTTCCAAACCCAGTTCGATCGTGCCGACTTAAAACGGGGTCAACGCAAACGGGGGCCAGCCAGAGCGCCGGTTTTGCAGGATCCTTCAGAGCAGGGGTTGCGCTGACCCGGGCTAGCGCGCAGGATCCTGCAGGATTTCGCAGGAACCTACAAAGCCTGATTGAGCTAGGTTTGTACTGACCCGGGTCAGTAGAAGCACGGGAGACGGTTGGGATGCGCATCAAGAAGCTGAATGCTTTTCCTCGGGGTACCTTGGGTTTCTCGTTCCGCGCTCTGCGCGGTGACTTCCCGCAGCCTTTCAGGAAGCTGCAGCGTCCGGGGTGCCCCTTGGGTTTCCCCCCCTGGGCTGCGTCTCGCGCGCGAGTTCTCAGGATCGGGTTTCGTGTGCTCGCTGCTTGCAGCCGCGTCCGCACTGCAATGGCAACGGGGGGGTATAATATCTGCTGCACTGCAGGCTGCTGATTTCGGCCCGCCGCGGTGCGCCCGTCCCCGATGCTTGGGCGCCTCCCGTCGCCGGGGTGGCGCTGTGGACATGAGCCACGTGAACTGATCCGCAAAACCTCTTTCTGCGGATCAGCTCATATGGCTGAGTTCCCCTCCTCCTCCTCCTCCTCCTCCTCCTCCTCCTGTAGATCCTCCTCCTACTTCCTCCCCCCTTCAATGCTCTCCTCCTCCTCCCCACTATCGTCCGACCCGATCTTCGCCGTCTTGGGGACCCACCTGATGCATCCCGAGCGGAGCGCGAAACGGATCGAAAGGACGCTGTCGGAGCACGAATCGGGAATGAACGGTCTGTGTCCCTCGCGCATTTCCGATTCCTCATTTCTCCGCGTGACTCCTCGGTCACCGATCCTCTGCGACGATCGCTCCTGCTCAATCCCCATCCCCTCTCCAGCGTCGGCCCTCGTCCCTCCCCGATCCTCCTCGATCTCCCTCGATCCTCCTCGACCCTTGGCCCTCGACTCCCCCTCGATCCTTGGTCCTCGCTCCTCCTCGACCCTCCCTCCCCCTCGACCCTTCCTCCTGCGCCCTCCCCCGCCGCGACGTCGCAGGGCGGCGACGGAGGCGACCGGCGGCGGCGGCGGCCCTGCGGCGGCGGCGCCCCGCGAGGCCGCCGAGGAGGCCGGCCCAGCCGCAGGCGAGCCCGCCGAGGCCGACGCGCCCGGCGGCGGCGCCCGCGCCCCGCCGCCGCCGCCCGAGGCCCTGCCTCGTGGCCGGGCGGGCGGGCGGCGGCCACCGCAGCCCAGCCCGAAGGCCCCAAGGGGCCTTCCGTGCCCGGTGTCGGCGGCGAGCGTGGAGGGCTTCTCCGGAGGGCTCAGGCTCAGGCGACCCGTGCTCCTCCATCTCCTCTTCCTCCTCCTCCTCCTCCTCCTCCTCCTCCTCCTCCTCCTCCTCCTCCATCTTCTCCTCCTCCTGCTCCATCTCCTCATCCCTCCTCCATCTCCTCCTCCCTCCTCCACCTCCTACTCCTCCTCCTGCCCAGGTCTCCTACGGCCCCCGGGGAAACCGTGCAGGCGAGCTTGGGGGGATGTCGGAAGCCTGGCGTCGCTCGAACCTCTGCATTTGTTCTCGGCCGAGGGCCATCCTGGACCATCGAGCAGCAGCAAAGATCACCCACGAAACCGAAGCATGCACGGGGAGCGGTCGTCTGAGCGATGGCAAGTAGGGGGCGGGCCTTCTCAGAAGGCTCGGAAGGCCTCGGGCCATCTGAGAAGTCTGCTGGACCTTCCCCGAAGACGCCACAAGTTTCTCAGAAGGCCAGATGGCTTCTGAGAAGCCCCGTCGCCTTCTGAGAAGGCCTCCTCCTTCCCGCTTCCCCCCCTTCACTCGCCGCCGACTGTGGGGCGACATCCCAGAGCATTCAAAATGCACCGATGGAACCCGTACGCCCCCCAACCCGAAGTTGGGGTCGGGACTTCGGGTCGGGTTGTGGTGGCCTGGTAGGCAGTCAGGCGATGGGGTTGGAAGTCCTTGGGCACCTTTTGCTCTTCCTGGGTTTGCGCGGGGCCTCGTCGCCACGGATAAGTTCCCCTGCGGGGTCTGGTCAAACCACACCCTTGGAGCGGTCCATGGCTTCGATTGGCAGTTGCCAGGGCCTTGGGCTTTTCAAAGAGTTTGCATGTCGGTGACGAGGTTTGATGGCTGGGTCTGTCACCAGGTTGGAGTAGGTACCAAGCTTTATGTGGCGATGGAAATTATTGACAGTTCCATTGGGTTTTCGAGGTTCGAGCACGAGTTTCAGCCGAGCAGTCCAATTATGTGGTGTACGCAAGCCTCGTGTTGGCCTTTCCCGCGTCACACTCCGCAGTCTGTGCCACAATTCCTTCCCGGCGTGTCCCGCCCGTTGCCTTCACCAGCTTCTACCCGCTTGCGCCGGCTGATCTAAAACAAGCTCGCAATGCAGCTCCCTTTGTCGACTGTGCTCGTGCTCTGCTGAGATTAGCCTGCCGCATCCATGCCGTCTGTCCCTCCTCCTTTTGATCCTCCCCCCTCCCGCCTGGTGGGTAGGACGAAACGGGGTAATCGGGAAAACACCGCGAGCTCAGATCCTAGCATTATGGTGCTGTCTTTCTTTTCCGATCACCGTGATTCGTACCACATTTCATGTTACTCGTTGCACCCGCGGGCGCTGTTGCACCATGGTTTCTCCCGCTGCTGCTGCCGCCTCTCGCGAAGATCTGTTCATTGTCTACAATCCTCAGAGCGTCGTCGAAACAGCTCGATGGGACGATATCGACGATCAGTTCCGGAGTGCTTTGGTGGTTGCTCTTCCAGGTACGGCCGATCGTTCAGATTTGGCTTCGTATCAGTTTCGTACTCGGCACTTTCATGTCCTGGCTTGGAGTGCAGGCCCAAACAAATTCACGGGCTGTGCTTTGCTCTTCAACAGGAGGTTTTTCTCGACCAACTCGTTCTTGGAACTCGCGGGACCTGACAAATACGGTTTTTCGGACATGCAGGGCCGAATGGGGGTGGTACAGGCGAAATCTGCTACACATGATATTGGGGCAGTGGTCGGGTAATTATAGTCCTCAGAATGGAGATTCTCTCGCCCCCCGCTTCTACCAGGCCCTCTCCGAGATGGCCAACTGTTCTGCGTCTCGCTGTATACCAGTGTGTCTTCTGGATGCTAATGCGCGTGTGGGTGTGGAGAAGGTTCCCAAAACATTTGCGTGGACTCCTACGGTATCGCCTGATGTGGGTGCATGCGGCCGTGCCCGCGAGAACCACAACGGGTCGTTGCTTCGTCAGACGACTCGCCGGCACCAGCTCACTCTGGCGAACACGTCTTTCCACGCAGGCCCAACGTTTTTCGGCAACCGCGGCATCAGCACGAGCATTATCGATCACATCCTCGTCCCTCGTGCGTTCATGGCTCGCGTGTCGAATGTGGAGGTATGGCACCGTGCCGGAGATGAGTTGCAAAACATCAAGCGTGCTATTTCTCGGCGTGATCACGGGCCTCTCGTTCTACGCCGTTGTGCACAACTCGACTACGTGCATCTTGCCGCTCGTCCCGTACATGCGGCATGGGACCACGATGCTTTATTTCGTTGTCACGAGTGGGGCGAGCAACTTGCAGCGTTTGTGGACCAGGTCTGTTCTTCCATCGACGTGGGCAGCGTGCGAAGTGCCGCGTGTTGCTCTACGGCGGACGCCGTCGCGGAGCAGATTTGGAAGGTTGTTCATACTGTGTCAGCTGGTCTGCTCACTCGCCGGTTTCAGACGCCGTCTGAACTCACCAAAGACGAGCAGGTGCAGCGCGACAAACTAAGCCAGGAATTTGATCACGCCCGGCAGCGCGTCTGCGCCTTGGCCAGCGACGCTGCGGACGAGGATTCCGCCGCTGCTGTCGAGGCGGTCGCTGCCCTCACGTCTTCGCTCTTTCGGCTCAGACGTCGAGCCCGCTGGCGTCGTCAGGAGCACGCCGCACAATGATCTACAAGAGGCTCCATGTAGACACGATTGGGGGACCGTTTGGAAATGCGTGCACACTCTGTCCGGCAAAGGGCTCGGGTTTCGTCGACGTCGTTTGGCAGCCCCACGAGCCGGCCCTCTCCCACAACAGGTTCTCGTTGATGCACTTGCCAAGCCAGGCCGGCTGAAAAGGTTCAGTGCTTCAGAGATCGAGTTCAACGCTGTTCCGTGGCGCCAGCACTGTGACCATGCGTCTCCCCGCGAACAGCCACAAAACATTTTTCTCGGACGAGCAGTGGGTCAGAGCATGCTGCGACTACCGCCGGACACGGTCACGCATTTGGCGGCGCGGGAAGATGCGGCGGCAACCGCCGCCGTGGTCTGTCCCAACTGTTGCGTGGAAGATCTCAGCGTTCCCGAGCCGCTTCCAACCTAGGCGCGCTGCTGGCATTGAGCATTCGCGAGGCCCGCTGGGCACCTGCGTTCTGCAGGATGCGATGCTGCACATGCACTGGTGCATCGCGCGAGCGAGCCAGGCTCCAGGCATGTTCCACGTTGCCAAGCTGCATCAGATCCCGAAGCCGGGGTCCGTGGACCCGCCTCCTTGCAACGCCGGGTTCGTCCTCACTCTTGACGAGTATGGCAAACTTGTCTACGGCCAGATCTGGGGGCGCGGGACACGTACGCTGGCGCGGCATTATGCTGCGGGCCACCTTCCGTTCCGGCGTCGGGAGGCCGCCGTGCTTGCGCAGTCGCTGTTTCGCCACCGATCCCGGCATGCCCGGCAGTCGCTTGCGCAGTTCTTCTGGGACCTTGCCAATTCCTTCGCGCGTGTCTTGCACTCGGAGCTCGCCAACTACATCCGCGGCGTCGTCCACGAGCCCCTCGATGCGCCCCTTGTCTGGCAGCGTGTTCGCCGAGCCGTCGTGGTCGTCCACTCTGAAGAGGGCGACTTCACCATGGCGTTTGGGTCCGGAGCTTTACCGGGCAACATCAGGCTTCCTGTGCTTGTCCGCGTTCCACTACAAGCTGGACGCATGCTGCAGAAAAGTTGACCAGCATCGAAACTACGTCACGCGCCCGTGGATGCCGGACGTGGCGCGCGGCATGCCGGCGCGCATCGCCGTTTCGAACGCCACTTTTGCTGGTGATTGTGCAGTTGCTGCGCGCGTCGCCGATGTCGCAAACCTTCGCAAAGCCCCCCGCAAGCTCAGCGCTGCCTTCGACGACGCCACGCCGCCAGACCGCGTGCAGAACGTTTCCAAGCAGGACCCCGTCGTTCACTTCAGTGGCCCAGGCAGCCAATTGAACGCCCGCATGCTGTGCACCACGCCCGGCGCGGTGCCCAGCAGAGTCCGCCGGCGCGCATGGAACCCGGGCCCCTATCTGGATGAAAACGGCGGTCTTGCGGAGGAGCGCACCCGCCGCCTGGGGGCAGCGCGCAGTAATTGCGGCATGCTGGGCAAGTTGGGTCCTATTCCACGCCGCGACAGTTGTAGATGGGCGGCGCTCGCCCCGACCCCCGGCGATTTTCGCGGCCGCGACGTCGGGGTCCTACGCAACGGCTGGAAGTGTCTACGCGGAGCCGGCGACGTCGTCGCGCGTGATGGCGTGGAGCACAAGAAGGGCCGCGCCAATCGTCAAGTCGGGGTCTCTCTCATATGATTTCCATGAGCTCTCAATCTTCGTGTCCAGCGGTTACTTTGGCGGCAGCGCGTTGCACAATCACTTCTTCATCGCGTCATCGCCATTGCAAACATGTTCGGGGACGTCGAGCGGGGGGCAGGCGAGGGGGGGGGGGGGTGCGTCGACTGCGGAGGGGGGGCGCGAGGGCGCCGGGGAGAAGGAGGGCGGAGGAGGACAGCCATTACGGCGGCCCGACAGGGCCCGAAGCAGGGGCCGCTGGATGAACACGGTCGTCTCCGGGAGATTGCGCATGCTTGGGCCGACGCTGCTCCTTCTGCGCGTGAACCAGGCTGACTCTGGCCTTGGTCCACTCGAGCGGGAGCTAGAAGGCGCGGCGGCCTGCCAGGATGGTGCAGTACGGCTGCAGGATCTGCATTTTGCCGTGAGGATGCGAGAAGAAAGATGACGAATATGATGATGATGTTCACCCCAATCAGCTTGAGAAACACCCGCTGGAGGATCCCAGATTGCACGAAACCACTCATTGAGTAGTAAGGCTGCCCGCTCGCTGTCAGGCACCATATTTGGCAAAGTGTGCGTGTGGATTCTTGTCCAGGCCCGCTGCTCTTGTGTGATCTTGCACTCCCGAAGGAGGTGTCGAGTGGTGGCTGGGACGCCACGCTCCTCACCGTCATGAAGTACATCAGAATGTATATAATGAAGGCGATCCGGGCTAGGCTCAGCCCCGACCACGCACCGCCATGCCCATGTGCGTTGCAACTTGGACTGCTTGTTTACGAAGTCCCGGAGTGTCTTGACATCCAGGCTCGGAAAGTCCACTGGCCCCTTGCGAACCGCGGTGGCGCTAGCGCCCCTCATCATGAAGCTGCGCCACGCCTCGCGGACGTAGTGCTTCAGCTTGCCCTTGGATAATCCGATGGGGAACGGAGGTCGGCTCGCACGGGTCGTTGGTGGCGCAGTGCCAGCCCATGTCGTCGAAGACGGTGCGCATCCGGCCGATCCAATTCTCGAGGAGCGGCGGCCCCCCTGCCATTGACCTCCACGCCCGGCGGACGAGCGGCTGGAGGGGGCCATTTCTGGTGCTTCGCAAGAAGCTGATGAAGCTGGAGAAAATGACGCCCATGGGCTCGATCTTCCAACCCTTGTCGAGGAGGCACCAGGCGGCGCCTCGGTGCCGCCTGGTGGCGCGCCTCTGCCTGGTGAAGAGGGCCTGCTCTACGCGGGCGCGCGTGGCGCTGACGTCCGCTGCCTTCATGGAGCGCCGCGGCCCACCCCAGCGAAGGAGGCTCATGGTGGAGAGGACGCTGAAGACCAGGTTGATGGCCAGCTGGGCTCCTCCGCACACGCGGCGGATCCCGCCCAAGCGGTTGAAGGGCTCCTCCCTGCGCCGGGCAGCCCGGGGGGCCTCCGAAGACGGAGCCGTGCCTGTGAGGTCAAAGCGAACCCCGAGGAGGGTCAAGTGTCCCCGGAGAGGCTTGCCAGCCCTCTCGCGTTCCTTCAGGAGGTTCGGCGGCAGGTTGAAGCCAGCCCACTCCTCCTTGCTGGGGTCCTCCTTCTGGCCACTCGCGATGTCCAGCTCCTTGAGGGGCCCCTCGATGGCGGCCGCGGTGTCGATGTCCCTGGCGGCGAGGGCCCTGTCGCCCACGTGCGTGCGGAACGAGGACGTATCTGGATTGTGCAGGGCGGCCAGCTGGCGGGCATGGGCCCCGGCGTAGAGGGCGGCGCCCAGCGGCGACGCAGGGCGCCCTCGCGGCATACCACGCTCTGAGCAGATCGGATCTGAGGCGTGCCCCCCGACCTTCGCGACCGCGGAAGTGCCGACGGCCGACAAGAAAAAGAAGTTGCTGTCCACTTCGTGCATGCCGAAGGCCATCGCGAGGCGGCGGGCCAGCTCCGGTTGCAGCCTGGTGAAGCAGTTCGACAGGTCAGACTGCCGAGCAATGAATGGTGCGCCAGAAGCCCGGGCGGCCTCTATCTCCATATCCGTGCTCAGCAGGTTGTGGATCGCATTGGTGGGCTGTGCAGCTTCAGCCCAGCTTTTGCACCGTCCAATGATCACTTTCTGGAAAGCCCTGGAGACGGCGGCGCCGACTGCGGTGGGCCGCAGATCCTCTGTGAGTGCGCCATCACGAACCTTGGGAATCATCGTGGTTAGGGCTGTGCGGAGGGCGTCGGGCCACTTGCCGCTGGCCCGGACGGCGCCCCCCAGGGCGCCGAGCGAGGCGATGGCAGCCGGGGGCGCCTTGGCGAGAAACCCCGCCTCGAGGTCGCCGGGGCCACTGGCGGTGCCAGCGATTGCCCGCAGGGCGCCGCGGAGGAGCCCCAGGTCGTCGCCGAAGCCCACTCCGCCGAGGGCGCCGGCAGAGCCTCGATCGAACCGCGGACCATCTCGAAGTAGGCGTTCTGGCGCCAGTCGCCCAGCCCCTCGTGCTGCTTGGCGTTGCACTGCCGGACGGCCTCGGCCACCAACCGGGTAGGGTCCGCGTCGGCTGCGTCTGCGGCCCGGGTCCCCCCGCCGATGCCGCAGGAGCGGAAGTGAAGGGCTTGTTCTTGACGTAGTCGAAGATGGTCTTGAGATTGCCACCCTGTGCCCGTGCGCGCCACTTCTCGATGCGCTCGTCGGCGTTCTCCTTACCCATCTTGCCCAGCATGGCCTTCAAGGTGTTCCCGAGCGCCGGGTAGTCGAGGAGGTCGGTGTCCTGGTCCAGAACCCCGTCGGCGATGAGGCTCTGGAGGCTCCGCTCGATGCTCTGGACAATGTCAGGGTGATCCTGCCCTGCCCTGTCTTTGAATTGCTGCTCGGTGATGCGGCGCAGGACTCGGTGCAGTCGTCGCTCCACTACACACATCCGGTGCCCGTGGGCGCCCCGGAGCGTCCTCTGCCACCTCTTCAGAACAATGCCAAGATGCCGTGTACGCTGATCTTCTGGGACCCCGCAGGAAGCCCCCAGGCAATCGCACCATGTCGCCCATAACTGGTCGACGTCATTTTCTCGAAGTGCTCGTTCCCAGGCCGCTACAATGGATGCAGCTGTGGATCGCCATTCCTCCTCCCAGTCGTCAGGGATGTCCAGAGGGTGGTTCTTCCGGATCGTCTGCGCGACGGCCTGGGGCTCGAGCTGGACCTGCACCACCACGGCGGCATGGTCGCTGATGTTGGTGTCCGGGGAGACGGAGTCGACGGCAAGGTGCCTGACCATGGCGAGGTCGATCATCCTGTCCCCGTGGGTGTAGAAAAAAGTAGGAGTCTGAGTCTTCTCGTGAGCATAGCCCAGGAGGCCAAGCCACGGCGAGAGCTCACCGTCGTACGGCTCCGCGTTGCAGTCCCCGACCACAAGGGCCGGCAAGTCGGAAGCGGCCACTCGCTCCGCGATAGCGTCCGCAAGCTTCCTGCGAGCGCGCGGGTCTTTGACGTGCATGTACGTGCCGATGATGATCATGTCAGAGCCGTTTACGTGCAAGACTCCCGAGACCACCTTGCCCGCAAAGCCGGAGGACCACATCCGCGGATTTTTCCGCAACTCATCAGGCCCAAACAATGCCGCACCGCCCCGGCGGCCATCCGAGGGCGCATATACAGCAAGAAATGACGGAAAAACTGTCGCAACCAGCTTCTCGAAACTCTTTGTGCGTGCATCGTCAAGGTTGGCGTCAACGATGCAGCCGACCATGGGCGGTGGGGAGCCTCCAGCTGCCCCCGGATCATGTTCAATTTGCCCTTGCTTGTCTTATCCGTGAGCCCATTGGCGTTGCAGCACCAGGCTCGCTGGGCCTGGCCCGCGGCCGGCGCCTGCTTGCTCCATGTGCTTTGCTTTCGCCGACGTCCGCCGCGGCCCTGGGTTGGGTCGGCCTCTCCAAACGCGCTGCCGCGCAAAACAACCAGGACACGCATTTTGGCCGTTCAAGGGGCCACAGAGCCCGACCAGCCGGACCGGGCCTTGTGGATGAGGCCCGGGCACGTGGATTTTTGTTTTTTTTTTTTTTTTTTTTTTTTTTTTTGTTTTTTGTTTTTTTTTTCTTTTTTTTGTTGTATTTTTTTTTTTTTTTTTTTTTTTCTTTTTTTTGTTTTTTTTTTTTTTTTTTTTTTTTTTTTTTTTTTTTTTTTGTTTTTTTTATTTTTGTTTTTTGTTTGTTTTTTATTTTTTTTTTTTTTTTTTTTTTTTTCTTTTTTTTCTTTTGTTTTTGTTTTTTTTTGTTTTTTTTGTTTTTTTTTTTGTTCTTGATTTCTTGTTTTGTTTTTTTTTTGTTAGTACCCCAGCTGGTATTCTTTTTTGGGCTTCTGTGGTTTCTCTATATTTAATGTTTGGTGTCTTCTGCTTCATGGGGAGGGAAGATCCGGCCAGAATGTTGGTGTTCGTGGTCCTCTTGTCTACCATCTTGTTCTTGACGAAGACGGCGCGGACTTCCGCCTTGTAGTCAAGGGGGGCCATACGTTCGTCCTTGGGCGCGCCCCGACAGGGTGGCCAGAACGCGGCCGAGGTGCGCAGGCATGAGCTGCAGTGCTTGCAGGCGTACACAAGCCTCATGTTGGGTCCGATCATGCTCTTGGTCGCCGTGTCCGGGTTGAGCTCGTGGGTGATGTTGCGGAGGCGCGCCGGGAGGGCAGCGCGCCGCTTCTCGTAGAGGTTCCAAGCCTTCGCCTCTCGGACCTTCACTGCCGCGATTCGGCTGTGGTCGAGGCGTCGCCTGATCTGACGCGTGTTCTCGGGGGTCCATCTGGATCCCGGCTGGCGCCCAGCCCAGTGTCTCTCGGCGGCCTGGAAGTGTTCCGCTGCCTTCCCGGGCAGGCCTGTGACGCGCCAGCCGCAGGGGCAGGCGAACGCGTCGCCGGCCAGGTAGTACTGCTCGCACTTGTCCTTGACAGTCCCTTCGAACTGCCGTCGCTGCGTCTCCACCTCCTTCCCCGTGGCGCCGGCGTGGGCGGTGAGCCAGTCGAGGTGCGAGGAGACAGCGTCTTTGAAGAAGGCGGCGTCGACGTCGGACACCTGCCGCTCCGCGCGCGAGAAGTTGCGGCGGAAGGACAGGAGGTAGGTCTGGAAGTCGATAGCCGGGCCCTGGGAGGCCGGCGGGGGTGCACAAGCAGCCGCACGGCCACTCGTTGAAGCAGACGCGCTCCGCGGACGCTTCGAAGAAGCAGGACGTGTCCTCTGTGATGCTGTTGTGGCCATCGCCGAGACCGGCCTTGCCCTCCGCGGAGCAGATGGCTGCGAAGAAGAACCGAGCGGCCTCCGTGAAGAAAAAGACGCCGCCCTCGAAGCCGAAGATGACCCCGCCCTCGGAGTCGCCGCCGAACGTGTCGAGGATGCCCGGGCAGCTCTCTTCGACGCAGCCGCCGGGGAGGGAACCGCCGTAGGCGCCTTCTGCGGAGCAGATGCGCTGGGTGCGCGAGCCGAAGAAGCCCTGGGTGTAGAAGAGGCTCTCCGCGACGACGTAGCCGTAGACGCCCTCGCTGGAGTCGGTGCTCGTGCTCGCGTGGCCGCCGGGGCCGCGGCGGCCGAAGCAGCCCTCTGGGGGGCCCCGCCTGCAGGTGAAGCTGACAGCCGCGAGAGCTCATCAGCGCGATCAGATTCAGAAAGCCAGCTCAAGGCTCGACCTCCGCCGGCCGGCCCGCGTAGGAACGAGCCGCCCTTGTCGCGGATCAGCTCCGCCGGCCAAGGCTTGTCGGGCCGGGCCGCCTGGAAGTGCCCGTCCTGGAGCATCAGAACAATCCAACCTCCTGATTTGTTGTCCGCACCGAAGGACCGGCGCGCCCACTTCCCAGCATAATCTTTATAGATGGTCGCGACGCACCGCTTCATGCGCGCAGCCACGCCCCTGAGCTGCATCTCGTCCACCCAGAACGTCGAGACCTTCATCTCGGCGAGGTGCTCGGCGAAGGTGGAGCCCGCGCGGTCGAGGTTATCCGGGTCGGCCGCCCAGAACCCCGCCCAGTCTTCGTCGGCGCCCATGAACTGGGCCGTCTGGACCCTGAGCGTCAGCGCCTCTGCGCGCACGACGTCGAGGTCCGAGAAGGCGCTGTCCCTGAAGAGCCTGCCGCCGAGCACGCAGGCGCAGTGCCCGCACGCGCCGGCCCCGCCCGCTTCCTGCGCCATGGCCTTATCGAGGATGCACTTGGAATTATTGATTTTTCACTTATCCTTCTTCGCAATCTCGGGGGGCCCGGCGCCGGCTGGAGGATCCTCCTGCCGCCGCGCCCCGCCAGACTCGGCAGCCGGCTCGCCGCCCTTTTCTTTTTCGCCTTTGGCGCCTTTGTCATCGACGTCCATGGCGTCGGCGCCCTTGCCTGTGGCAGGTGCTGGTGATGCGTCATCGTCATCTTGCGGCCGCCGTGGGGGGCCAGGTCGACGAGGTGGTGAAAACGTCCAGGGTCGAGGTGGCCATCTTGCGAGTAGCTGGTGTGACCTTGACCTTGTCCTTGCCTTCCAGGAGGTAGATGTAGCTGCACGTATCGGAGGGCCGCTCCGTGCATTTCACCCTCCACGAACCCGGTGCGAGCATGGCCTGCACGTCCGGGTCGATCCACACGTTGGCTGTGAGGAAATCCGAGACCTGAGTCGCGGCCCACCAGCGTGGTGTCTGCACGCGCCACACAAATGGCGGCTGACGCCGAACATTCTCCGGAGTCTTCTTCTCGTAGCCGAGATCGTGCTTTCCCCCATCCTGTGAGCGAGGGGGCCGCCGCCATCCTGGGCACTGCGATCCAAGACCCGCTCGAGGTACTGTTTGTCCGTGCCCGCGCCCTCGCGAACGACCCACTCGACCGTAGTGCGTGGGCGGGCGCCGCGGTCGCGCGCGAGGCGCTGGAAGAACACCCCGCCCTTTCCAGAGAGGGCCAGCAGCTGAGCGACGCCCTGCTCCAGACCCTCGGCGATGAGGCTCATCGCGTTTTTGTTTTTCGTGTCAGGTTTGACGGTGAAGGTCCACTTGCCAAGCTGGGCCGACTTGAGGTCGGCCGGCCAAATGCTCTCGAGGCTTGGCGTAGACGTTCGCGCGGATCGCTGTCGGGCCTTCGGGCTTCGTGGGGGCGCCTTTCGGCTGCGCCGCAGCGGGGGCCTCGGGGGCCTGCGCCGAGACGCCGTTCCCGATCTTGCAGCAAGAGGCGGGCCGCAGGGAGTAGACAACAGGATTGCCCTCCCGAAAGGTGACCCACCTGGGGGTGCAGACGACCCCCTCGATAGTGAACTTGGTCGCGTCATCCATGGTCTTGAACGGGATGACGACCGTGAAGCTCTGCCTGGCGAGGTTGGCCGGGTCCTTCTGGCCAATGTGCATAGCCGCGGCTTCGTCGGCCACGGCCACAGTGTGCGCATCCGACGTGGGCATAACGCCGGACCGCAGGCTGTCGAGCAGCTTCGTGTCCGCGGCGATGTGGAAAGTGGGCCAATCCCGTTGACGCACCATCACCGATGGCTTGGAGGAAGAAGGACTGCGTGTGCTTGACTTCCCGTTGGCCTCAGACCGGCCTCCGGAGTCCTCCCCCTTCCCGTTGTTTTGGTTGCCGCCGCGGCCCTTGCCGGGGCCCCGAGGCGTCTCCGCGTCGTTGTTGTTGCGTCCGTTGTCAGCTGAGGCGGCCGGCTTCGTGACGTTGCCCTTCGCCTTGAAGGTGTTCAGCGTGAGGTGCCCTCCCTCTGCGGCTTTGGTGGTGGGCCGCAGTCTGTCAAGCACCGGGCGGCCTGAACCTGGCCTTTCGAGGGCGCCCTTTAAGGCATCTTCCAAAGTTTTCTTCTCCTTGGGAGCCTTCTTGGGCGAGGTGCGGGGCTCGCCCCCCCCCTTGCCACCTGGCGGCGGGGAGGTCGAGGGGCGGTTGCCAGCCTTTTTCGAGCAACTGCTTGAGGCCCTGGAGGATGGGGTCTGCAAGGGCCTCCTCCTTGTCGGGCCTCTTGTTCCTGGCACCACCCAGAGGGAAAATCTGATGAGGTGCCGTACCGCTCCTGGGAGTTCGGGTACACGATGGGGGAGAGTCAGAGCTCTCATGAACTTTACAACGTACGTCAGCAAGAACATCGTCACCCAGAGGACCACGGCCACCCAGGACAGCACCCTTCCGCTGAACAGGAACAGGACCAGGATAATGATCAAAAACTTTGCAACAATCGCCAACGAGAAGTGGGGCTCCAGGAAAGACAGGGCCACCTGGAACAACACCCTCCCGACGAACTGAATCAGGACCAGGGCTGGAATCCGAAGAAAGTCGTGCAAGCCACTTCTGGATGCGGGCCCGGAGGAAAACCAGGACGCCCCAATAAATGACCATAGTCCCCCCACATTGAACGCTATCCCATAACAGACAATCAGGAAGACCACGTGCAACGTATTCAAAATCATGAGACGGCATCTGCATCTCGCAGTTCTTCGGATGGTCCTGGGGCCCCTCGGTTTTGATGTCCGGGGCGGCCTGGAAATAGTTCAACTTGACAACCCTTAGCACCTCGATGGTACTTTTCTGAGAATTTCTCCCGTAATCGGATACCTCGAGGCCCAACCGCACGGGCTCGATACCGTGGACGTGGTTGCCGTATTGGTCCATGCCTGGGCCGAGCAGATGTCCGGCGATCTCTCCGACCTTGCCGCGATTTCTGGGGAGAGGACATTGCGGGCGCGTCCACCGCCCACTTCTGCTGTTCACTGATGAGCACGTTCGGGAAGCTTTCTTGCGCGCGGACCCCAATATTCCTTATTCGAGCTTTCGCGCGGTTGCCAGAGGAGAAGGGGGAGAAGACGGAGAGGGGGGGGCGTGCGCGAGTCCACGCATGTGTGCGAGCTTCTCTTTGCTGAGGGGTCGGTGTGTGGAGCGCGTTTTGATGTGCGTCAGAAGCTCCCGTCCCCTGAGGCGCGCAAGCAGGGGGGGGGCCCGGCGCGCGTTCGCTGCCATGGGCCCTCGCGCAATCTAACCAATGTATTGCGCGCGAGGCTATTCTGGCAAATCGGAGGAATGCTTGCCACCGCCTGCGCGCGTCTTTCTGCCGGGGGTATTGTCGACCAAGGGGCGAGCAGGGATCCGCGGAGGTGTTCGAGGTTTTTTGACGCATTGCCCATCACTTGTGCTATGTGTGGACTCTCTTTTGGCTTAATGGAGTTGCGTCAGTGGGTCGCTCCGGAGCATTTCCCGCCCGGCTTCGGCTTCTTGCTGGACTTCCCGGATGGGGGCCTGGGCTAAGGGGTTTGCTGACACAGAGGCGCCTAAGGGACCGGCCGCCAAGCGTCGGGCGGCATTCTCTTCAGAGGCGAACGACAAGTTGAAGGTGTTGATCGCCTTGCAGAGCAAGCTCAGCCTGAAGAATGCGGCCGAGATCCGCGTGATCATCGCCGCGGAATTCTACGCTATCTAGTCCCCGCCGAATCATTTGCTGAGCGACATCGCTTCGAAGGCTTTCCAGGGGCGCGCCGACGAGACCCGCGGGAAGTCCAGTCACGAGGAGGGCGCGCCGAGCCCGAAGGCCCTCGCGCAGGTGCCCCTGGCGGCGTTCCAAGGAGAGCGCGAGGCGGAGCTCGGCCCGGCGGAGCCAGGCGAGACGCTCGCGATGGCCTTTCTTGAGAAGCACCTTCCCGAGGGCAAGAAAGGCGTCGTTCAGTTCGCCGCCCCTGCGTTCAAGGTGCAGAAGGCGCATGGCCACGAGACCAAAGGCATGAAGTTGTACATGCGTTTCCGGAATCATGCGGAATTTCTTCTGACGGGGGATTGCTCCAGGGAGCGATTCGATAATTTCGTGGTTGCCCTCGCGAAGAAAGCCGGCGGTCGGCGGCTCGTCGGTCGGGCCCCGCGCGGCCCTCTTGAGTGGCGCATCCAGACTCTGGTCGACGAGCTCATGCTCTGAGCGTGGTAACCCGTTTCATAGATATGTAGATAAACCGCAAAAAAGTAGCGTGTGCACAAATATGCTATGCAGATCTTCATACCACGTGGGTGTCCGGAGCGGCAGCTGCATCGCCGTCGTTCGCCCCCCCCCCCCCCCCCCCCCCTCCGCCCGCTCTCCGCTTCCCCCTCCCCGCCCTCTCCGCCCTCCCCCTCCCGAGGGGCGGGTGCTGCGCCAGCTTCGGTTCGCCTCTGCGCGGCCGCCGACAGACCGGTCGGGCCCGACGCCTCCGGGCGGCCCGCTGACGGAGCGCCCGCGCGGCCGATCCCTGTCGCCCCCCCCGTGCCTGGAGGGGCGCGGGAGCCGCGGGCGCAATCGTGAAGCGTTATATTTGAGCGCGGTTCCTCCTGAACTCCTCCAGAGAGGCGGACGTGGATGCTTGTTTTTACGCGCTGCGAGAAGACATTCGCCATGAAATTCCTTGCGAGGCGCGTGAGTGCGTGAGTGATCGGGAAAACGGGTTGGGTGCGACGTCTGCTGCGTGCTAGTTGCGAGGCCCCGCCGCCTCGCCCTTCCCTCGGTGCATGACCGCCTCCGGCGCATGGGGGCCCTGATAAAACCTTTTCCATTTAGCTGATTCCTTTGGCCGCTGCCGCTTTTCTTGCGCCCCGACCGTCCGTCCATTTTCCTTGCCCCTCCCCCTCTCGATCCTTCCCTCCTCGCCGCCCTCCAGCCCTTCTGGGCCCTTCGCTCCCCCACCTCTCGACGCCCCCATTTCCCTCTCCTTCGCCCCGCCCAGCGACGCGACGCCGCCAGCGCGCGACTGCGTCGACTGCAAGGATGTCCCTGTCTCCTCTCTGGGGCCGCGGGTGGAGACCCCTGTGGGCCGCGATCCGCGTCAGAGGTGTGCCGAGATGGGCTGGGGGGCAGGGTGCGAACCTTGCCTCTGGGGCCGTCCGCGGAAGTCCTTGCGGGTCGCGATCCGCGTGAGAGGCGCGCCGAAGTGAACGAGGCGATATCGTGGAGCCCCCCTGTGGCGCCGCAACACTTACCGAGCGCGACCCGCGTCAGGGGCGCGCCGCTATGCGAACCTCGTCTCTGGAAGCGTAGGTGGGCCCCCCATGTGGGGCGCGATCCTTGCGGGGGGCGTGCCGGCGTGGGCGGGCGGGCCCAGGCGGGGCCCCCCGCGGCGCGCGATCCGCGTGGCAGTGCTACAAGGCCGAACAGGTTAGGCTACAACTAGAGATTGCCAGAATCTAAGCGCACGCGTAGCGCGCCCGCGCGCCCGCGCGCCCGCGCGCCCGCGCGCCCGCGCGCGCACGCACGCACGCGCGCACGCACGCACGCACGCACGAACGCGCGATCGCGCGCACGCGCGCACGCACGCACGCGCGCGCGCACGCACGCACGCGCGAATGCACGATCGCACGCGCGCACGCACGCGCGCACGCGGGGGGCCCCGGGCAGGGGGGGGGGCGCACGCGCGCGCGCCATGTGCCCACGCGCGCGCGCGCACGCACGCCACGCGGCGGCGGCAGGCACGCCCGCCCGCACGTATGACACGCAGCCGGCGCGCGCGCACGCACGCACGCACGCGCGAACGCGCGCGCGCGCTTCGCCCGCCCGCCTGCCCGCCCGCCCGACCGCCGCCCGACCGCCCGGCAGCCCGGCCCCGCCCGCCCGCCCGCCCGCCCGGCCCGCCCGCCCGCCCGTCTCGCGCGCGCAACGCGCACGCGCGCACGAGCACGCGCGCGTGCACGACACGCGCGCACGCACCGCGCACGGCGTACGCGAGAGGCACGCCACCGCGCACACCACACACGCAAGCCGCACACGCACTCGCACGTGCACTTGCGCACGCGCGCACCGCCGCCACGCCCACGCGCACAACACGCGCACGCCACGCGCACGCGTGCACGCGCGCGCACGCGCACGGGCACGCCCGCGCGCGCGCGCACGCGCACGCGCACAACGCACGCGCAACGCCCGCGCACGCGGGCGCGCACGCGCGCGCGCACGCGCACGCGCGCACGCGCACGCGCACGCGCGCTCGCACGCGCACGCCGCGCGCGCGCGCACACGCGCACGCACGCGCGCCGCGCCACGCGCCGCGCCGCACGCGCACACGCACGGCCACACGCACGCGCGCACGCACGCGCGCACGCGCGCACGCACGCGCACGCGCACGCGCACACGCGCGCGCACGCGCGCGCGCACGCGCGCGCGCCCGCGCCCGCGCGCGCGCACCCACGCACCCACGCGCCCACGTACCCACGCGCCCACGCGCCCGCGCGCGCACGCACGCGCGCGCAGACAAACAACACACACAAACAACGCACACAGAGACAGCACACACAGACAGCACACACAAACGACACACAAACAACGCGCACACCACGCACAAACAACACGCGCACACAACGCACGCACGCATCACGCAAACAACAAGCGCAAACAACATACACAAACAACACACATAGCCAACACACAGACAACGCACATACAAACAACACGCACACAGCACCACACACAATCAACGCACGCAAACAACGCGCACGCACCACGCACAACACAAACACCACGCACAGACACCGCACGCAAAACGCGCGCACAGCACGCACAAACAACATGAGCAAACACCACGCACAAACAGCACACACAAACAACGCACAACACACATAAACAACGCGCACAAACAACACGCACACACAACACACGCAAACAACACACACACAAACAACGCACAAACAACACGCACACACAGCACGCACAAACAACGCGCACAAACAACACGCACGAACAACACGCGCGAACAACACACGAACAACGCGCACGAACAACGCACGCATCACTCACGCAAACAACATACAACGCACGCGCACAACACGCGCAACACACAACACACACGCACAACACGCACACAACGCACACACACACAGCACAGGCAACACGCACACCACACGCAACACACGCAACACACGCAA